AATTTGTAATTGTCAAATGACTGACTCTGGAGAGGATATATTTACTTAATAAGTGTTAGTTACCTAAAATCATTAAAAGGAAAAGTCGGAACAACTGAAGTTGAAGCTTCAGCAGCTGGTTGAATAGAATTTTTTTTTATTAGGTTGTTAGGAAGGCATAGCGAAGATTATGAAAAACATAGTAGTAAGAGTACGATCAAGCATTTATTTCTATAAATATCGTTATTAATTGTGATGTTGAGCACTTTCACGATAATTTTAATCAATCAATTGCGATGATTGAAAACACCCACAGCTATTTTTTGTATGGCTTATTTTTTTAATCAATCAAAAGATATAAGTCCAAAAAATAGGGTTGGTACATTTGTCCATTGGACCATATCCATTGGTTCCATTGAGTGATCACTAAATTCCAATGGACTAATGTACAACTAGGTCAAATAAATTATTTTATCAAGCAGTGGCTACCTGATAACTTATTAGTACTTTCGCATGATAACACTCATTCTTATTATTTAAATAATGGCCCGAGTTAAGCTTAATTTGGGCCCAAAATTTGAAACTACACCTTTGCACATTATTTTGCAAAATACAGTGGCTTTTATAAATAACTATATACTGTTTATATTATATCAGGAAGGTTAAACAAGATATTTTTTACTATCTTCGCTAACATTAAAAACTTTTAACAAGAAGATTCTGCCTAGAAACTTTTCACAAAGATAAATAGATTTATAAAAAGCTTTTAATACCAGTGTAAATAGTAAAAAAAGTTCATTCACGGACATTTCACTCACTTGAATTTATTAAATATATTTCGTAATAATGTTTAATAGAGTGATTGTGCTAAAATATGTTATCTAAAGGCAGTGTTGGCCCCGGACAATGTCCGCGCCTATTTTTTGGACTTTGGACAATGTCCAAATATGTCTGTGTCCAAGTCCGCCATATATATTTATTGTGACCATGGAGGACACTGTCCAGGACATTTTTATGTCCGGACAGATTTGATTGGTCAAGAGCAACCGGGTAACTTGTTTGCTAGCAACAAATGGCGGCGTTTCAGTATAATTAATTACATATTTAATAATATTTTCCAATAACGATAAAAAAAATTTTTTTTTCTGGAGTCTTATGTATTAGATTTTGAAAATTTTTTTTTCGTCAAAAAAAAAAAAGAAAAAAATTCATAAAATTTAATCGTTAATATATAATATATATAATAAAATGTTAATTTTAATACATATATATATATTTTATTATAAGTTTTGCCTACTTTTGTACGTATGCGAACAGATAAACTTAATTCAATAATTCATAAAATTATAAAAACAGCAACCTTCAAGCTAATCTTTATTATCTACTTGGACTTTTCTTCGATTCTTATTATAAATGGTAAGACATTAATAATAATAATATCTTGATCCATTGTGGATTAGCAGAAACTCCGTTTCCGCTTATTCACATGAGTGTCGACAAGCGAAAGCAGGGAATTTCGAGTTTTGCCGGCTCCGCTTTCTGATCCGATTCCTGATAAATTTAAATTAAGCACAACATAAATTATATGGTGTGTTAAATCACATTTTTCGGGGTTTGATCTGTAAAATAATTTCGGAAAACTCACAATTCCCTGTTTTCGCTTGTCGACACACATATGGATCAGGATACTATTCATTAATCTCCGTGATCTTTGCATAGTGAACGGGATTATATTAAGTATAATGTGATAATAATTTGTCTATAAACTTTCTTTCATGTTCTAGCAGGAAAAATTCCTCATGAAATTTTAATATACGTTACAACCATCCTAATCCAAACACTAAAATCTAACCCTAAGGATCTGTTAGAATGATTATTTATCACTAACCATAAATAGCTGTTAGAATAATTATTTAATACAAACCTATAATGTACCAATACTAGCCATAAAAAACTGCTAGAATGATTATTCGGTTATTTGATGTTCACGCTACACCCGATGATTTGCTAAAACTCACTCTCATTCGTTTGCTACTGGTCTACTTTTCACATCTCATGTATTATGCAAAGTAAACTTGAGAAAGACGTAGGTTGTTCACTTCTATTCTGTGAAATATTGGAGAAATTCGAAATCGTTTGTCATTACAATAGATTTTATATTGTAAAAAAAAGTTAAATCTAACCCGTAATTTGATCATTTTTTGGGTTGTGTTACCCGCGCAAATAAGTAAATCGACCGTGGCATGCCCAAAACTTAAATAGTCAATAGTCATAGGAAGAAGTTTGTCTGATTGGCTGATGTAAATCAATTGCCCGGGTAACTTACAGTATTTATATGTTATACAGTACATTTTTAGAACTGAACGTTTCACTAATAAAAAATCACCCCAAATATCATTAATAGCTTCAGTGAGGCACTAACGTCCACAGTGCAAAAGAATCAAAAAAAAATCAGCTCCCGGTGAACTTTGCTTAGAAGACAAAATATAATGTCACCTATTGGACCGTCAAAGCTATATTGTAGAATAAGGTAATTTGAAATATTTTCTTGCTTAAGCCGTTTATTATGTTAGATTCAAATAAACTTTTATTACTAACTGTTTAGTTTGAATAAGTGCAAGCTTTTAATAGCAAGAGATCCGGGTTTAATGTTTAGATATGGTCGGTTTTTGCAATGTGTTAGGTTTGCTTAACTGCAAATTTAGTTTATGTACCGGTATTTTGTAAATTTTCTGAGAAGCTCGAGTTTATTAATAATAAATATCGTATATATCTACTTTACACATATCTTTCTATTCTCTAAATATATGTGATAAAATATTGTGTACTGTATATTTATTATTTGTAAGTTTTTTATATGGAGTTGTCTTTCGTTTTCTAGTATATAGTATTAAAATGACGGATTTTTAAAATTATGTAATTTGATTGGTTAATCATCACGGGTGATCACGGGTAAATCTACGAAAATTATCCAATCAGACGAATTTCTTCCTTTGAAGTCAATAAGGCATGTTACTTATGTCATTCCGAAATATTCCGAATATACATAGTTATGAGAAAGGTCAAGTGGAATATTCCGAAAGGAAGTTTATATAGTATGTGATAACTGACCATTCTAAATTGAGTATACCTATCACGTGGCATAATGACATGCCAGGGTGGCATCCTGGCACGAATTTAGCAAATGGTGCCAGATGGCATACCAAATTTTTTTTGCCGTTCCATTTTCCCTAGGTCGGACACAATTTTAATTAGTGGAAAATAATTTAGCCGGTCAAGTAAGTTTGTTATCGCGATAAAAAAAAAAAAGATGATTGAGGCCATCTTTTTTTATCATAGAGTTGTGCTAATTGGTTAAAATTTATATTCACATTTCGCGACATGAATCTTTAGCAAAATTATCGTAAGGATTACAGTATTTAAATTAATCGTAGTATTTGATCACGGCCTTGATAACAAACCAATCACATTGAGATTCTTGAAAGTAACCCGAAGACTTCAATATAATAGTACTATGAATGAAATTTTTTTGGCGATAACATCCTGGTTTAAACCAATGGACCAATAGATCAATGGATCAATGGATCAATGGATATAGTATTGATCCATTGAGTCCCATTAACAAATTTATTTTTAATGGACATAGTACATTGCCAACCCTGCCGAAAAGTATCCACAGAACTAAAAGAAAACTTTTACAAAAATAATAGTTGGATCCTAACAATGATCTTATGGGGACATAGTATTAGTTAAAAGCATTTAGGCACCGATTTTTCGGTAAATAAAGCTCCAAACAACAATTTATCCGCACGTCATAATTTTTATGCCGCAATCCGAAACAAAGCCGAATCTAATATATGCTATTAATTTCCGTAATTTTGTTTTAGAAATTTTAATACCGATAGTTATTGTACATTGGTGTAGTTGTGTAATTTATACTGAAAATAATTATTCTACTATCACTATAATATGATTTATAAACTTAGGATAAAAAAGCAATTTATATTTACTTCGTATTATTATTTTGAAATGCATTCATTATTTAATAATGTTCAAATTCTAAATTTTTCGTGGATATAATTCCACACTTTTTTCGTTGTCGCCCAGCTATATTTTTTAATTTTTTACATGTGTTAATGGCATATTGTGAGATTACTTTTTTAAACTAATTGGCGGTGAATCCCGACATCCAAAATTCCGACACTCAAAATCCCGAAAATCAAAATCCCGTCAGAGAAAATACTAAAATCCCAATATGACATCAGAATTTTAGTACTGTCAGGGTTTTAACCTGACAAGATTTTGGTACTTTCGGGATTTTGATTTTCGGTATTTTGAGTGTCGGGATTTTGGATGTCAGGGATTCTGTGGTAGAACCCTAATTGGCAACAAGCTTCATGATATAATTAGGGATAGTAAAAAAACGGTTTTAAATGATTTTTATGATTATGATTTTTAAATGGGTTTAATAAAATGGTTTAAAAATATTAATGATTTGGCGCTGATGGCTGAAGCTAGAATTACTATATCTAATTGGTTAATTTCGATTTCAGCATTGGTTAACATTTGTGAACGATAATTAATGAAACATAAAAAAAAATACGTTGCATTTTTATATTTAAGACTGCAAATTTCATAATAGATTTATTATTTTGCAATAAACAAAGTTTACTGTCTATCGCTCTTATTTTGTATTGTCTTACAAAAAAAAAATTTTTTTTTTGTCTTGCAAATTGTGCATAAATGTACTCTACGTTTACAACATAATTAACAAAGACTCGCGTGTGGCTAGTTGTACTTTCATCATAATTGTAAACGTTAACCATTCCTTAATAAAAAGTCCCCGTGGCCAGAGAGGTCACCTTATTGCCAAAAAAAAAAAAAATTAACAAAGACTCGACTTTTTAGAGTCGACTCAAAAAACCGACTTGGACCGGACTTTTAACATTCTTCACTATCCTATATTTAATATACAAGATGCACGTGCAATGCGAGTCGAGTTCCAAGTCTGAACTTTAATAATGACTCGACTTTTGGGGTCGAGTCGAACTATAGTTGTTAGACGAAATCTCGAGGTTTCGCGCTGACGAAACGCGAAACCTAGTTTGTCTTTCGTCAACTAAAATTTTAAATGACGAAACTGACGAAACTGATGAAAGGTGACGAAACTGTAAAGGGTGAGGTAACATAGTGATGGCAGAAAAATTCTGCGACCAGATGATTTTTGATCGTTCTGAACCTCATAATATAATATAAACATACAAAAATTAGACATTACTGTATTATTGATCATTAATTGGGTCACGATCATCTGATACGAATTTTTTCTGCAACCACTATGTTACCTGTAAAGGGTGACAGAACTAATAAAAGACGAATATACAAATAAATGTTGTTGAAATCATTGATGTGTGTATAAAAAATAGCAAAAATTTATAAAAGTTACAAAAAATTTTATTGTATAATAGGCACTTTAATTGTTTAAAGGCAGTTAGAAATGAGTATTCTATTTTTTTTTTTTTTTTTTTTTTTGTAGGAGCACTAGGGTTTCGTTTTTGAGTGTTAGGTTTCGTCATTTTAAGTTTAAGGTTTCGACTTTCGTCAGAGGTTTCGTCTTTCGTCTAACAACTATAAGTCGAACCGAACCAAACTTTTAACATCCCTAACTTTAAATGACTTTTAAACATCCCTATCCATAACCGATTAATCGGATTAGTATAGCCGATTATTCGAATTTAACCGGATTAATATAGCCGATTAACCGGATTTAACCGGATACAATATAACCGATTTATATTCGGTTCTAATTTTCAATTAATAAAACCGGTTCCACTCTCTATATAAATCAATAACGATAATTTTCTAAAGACAATTACGTAACTTAATGGTTAGCAAAAACAGCCATGTTTTTTTTTTCCAACCCACTTGAAATTATTAGGTGGGCGTCACCTAGAAGTAGTGCAATACTAGGGACACCCTGATAAGAAGTGTAGCAAGCCATTGACCTCTTATCCGAGGATAAAAATTAGTTTAATATCGAAGATCCACTGTGTGGATCGTTTCAGATATTAAGCTGAAAAGAACAGATACTACACTTGATCTTAGCCAAAAGGCTTGAGAGGATGAGGTTCTTTGTTTGCGCTTGATTTTGAAATTTATATATTCCAACTTTTTTTTAAAAATTGTGGGATTGTTGCTGAAATTTAGACGTCAAAATTATGTTGGTCATTACGCAAATGACCACGTGACCAGTCATTTTTCAACTCCGTTTTTCGTTATATTACCATATTTGACATTGCATCAAAGTTCTGTTTTGTTTAAAGTTCACGAACAAAATGTTCAATCTCGTGAACAAAAATTTGTTGTACTCATATAGAAATTTTTGTTACATGTATTAGTATCGTGTAACATTGCACGAATTGTTGAACTTTCTAGATGGACGTTTAACAAAGAAATCCTGCGGTCATGTGGAAGTTGTCCCACACCGCAGCGTTTCGAAAATTGGAACGAATTTTCAAATTTTGGATATATAAAAAAAAACTTAAAAAAAGCAATTTTCTGAATATGGACCCATTATTTAACTTATTTATTTTATCATTATGCATGAAAGACAAATTACATCGTTCACTATATTTAGTTAATATATCCATAAATGTGAAAGCTACATTGTATTTTTATCATCTTAGGTCTCCCGCTAATATATATCAATTGTTATCGATTACCAAGACCTTCAAAGTATCCTTAATATTTATTAATATTCATGACTTTAACCTGATATACATATCTGATATATTATACGTACGCACATTTTAAGGTTTCTCCCTATTTGGTTTGCTTTTTAACATGGGTGTTACCTATTTATATTCTGTTTTCTATTATTAGTATAACAGCGTTAATTTTCCATGCATACACAATCCTTGTACGTAGATCATTCACATTCCAACTTAGAAACGTTACACTATTGTTTTCCCGGATCAAACAATCAAAGATTTTGCCTTAATACATACAGTATCGGGTATACAGTATATAAGGAGGGCATAATGTTGAATTATGTTCTTTTTGATAATCGAGTTATTTAATTAATTGATTTTTTAATTTTGGGTTGTCAAATACTATTTGCGTATCTTTGTCATGGCAGAATCTATATTAACGGCTAGGACTTGTCCAAACATGGTTAAAGACCATGATCCTGACGATCTAAAATTTATAAATGACAATGAAGTCCCTTTGCACATTGTGGGATGGCTTGTTAGTGCGATTTTTACATTTCAGGCTTCTATCATTACTTTATACTTAATAAAGCAACACTGGAAATATTATTATGAGGTATATACAGTATAGGTGTTTACTACTTTAGATCTGGATTTCATCCTTATTCAAAACATCTTTTTATTTACAGCCAAGTCAACAAAGATATATAGTCCGACTACTTTTAATAGTTCCTATATATACGATCTTGAATTGGTTATCATATTTTTTCTTTCATGGTTCTGTATATATTGATACGTTCCGGGATGCTTATCAAGCCTATGCCATAACTAGCTTTTTTAATCTTCTTCTTCAATGTTTGGGAGAAAATGATGAGACTCGCATGCGAAAATTAAGTAATATAAAGTCTACTAGGTCACCAGCTCCATTTTGTTGTATATATTTTAATCCAAGCGAGCATAAAACACTTCTCAAGCGATTAAGGATTGGTATATTGCAATATGTACTTATATTATATGCCACCACCTTTATTGCGTTGATATTACAAGCCACAGGATTTTATTGCCAGGAATCATTTTCTATATATTTCCCTCAAATTTATTTAATAACTGTGCAAACAATTTCAGGATTTATCGCAAATATATGTATGGTATGTTGTCGTAATGTTATTATTTGTCATTACTGCATTAGCATAATGTTTATCTGATATATTTTTTTTAGAATATGTTGTTCACACCTGTTCAAAAGATTCTTGTTAATGACTACCCTTGGTCCCTAAGAAATATATGTGTAAACACGGTATGATAATTAATATGATTTAAGATTTTCGGATTTCGTATAACACATTAAATAATCGGTATCAGTATTATTTTATAGGCTCTCTTCTTAGTTACATACCAAGGTCATGCTCTTGGATTCCTTGTATTCTTAGGATACATTCGAGAAACAAAATATTGGTAAGAGTCGTCTTTTAATATCTAGATATTAATAATCAAATTATTCTACAAATACTCATACAATAATTACAATTCATTTATAGGACTGCACACAACATTTCAACGGGAATACAAGCAATCTTGGTTTCTATTGAACTTGCTATAATCTCATTAATCCAAATGAAAGCATTTCGTTACAAAGATTACCGTCCGGATCCTCGTAAACCAACACCAATTTTAGAATCCATGAAAGATTCATTGATTCCTGTTGATTTATATCATGACTTTATTTATGCAATTCGATATATTTATAATCGAGCGTTGAAAAGACCGACAACATCAGATATTTGGCCTAATGATAGACCAACTATCGAACCAACACCTCCAAAACCGACTTTCATGGATCGATTTACGAATCTATTTACGAAACCTTTTTATAAGTCACAAGAAAATGCACCTATACAACCACAGAGACCACCAACTCCAGTTTATAAAATTAAAATTGCGA